GCTCTCGACGCCGGTGTATCTTGGTTCACTGAAACCGAAGCGATTTCAACTAGCGTTACGTAGTGAGCCGCGGCCACGGCCTGCGGTGTATTGACTTTCCCCGAGTGCTTGGTGTATATTTTGGCTGTTGCCAGGCAAACAAAAATGTAAATTGCCTGAATTCGTCGCTAATTATGCTGTACTTTCAGATTTTTTCTTGTGTTGGAGTTTCCGCATTTTTGTTGCCTAATATTGACATCAAAATTTGTTACTGTGACATATCACACTGAACAGTTTTATAACATTTAGTTTGAAATGACGTACATATGTTATCTTTATAAAGCATCTTCAATTTGAATTTTATAAATTTCTTCATCATCCGACTAATGCATTTGTGACTTTAGCATCCTTGTTTACAATGACAGTAAACATAAAACTAAATAAACTGTAGGATTTCATCCTTTTACAACGGATTAATTGCCAGAGGGCACTGTTCTAAAAGGGAGTTAAATATACTGCACTGTTATACCCCGAGGTGTATACCAAGCTATAAACATCCAAGCACAAATATAGATGAAAGAGATAAAAATAGACCCGTCAACAGATAAGCAGATAAACAGGCGGGCAGAAAAGAAACAAAAAAACACATAGGTAGATAGCTATACGAAACAGCGGCTTTTCCAGGACGTGCAAGTGAAGGTTAACCACAAAGAAAGGTGAGGGAGTCAACGCCATGAAATTTCCGACCTTCCACTCCCCGAAGGTGAGATAATCTCGGAGGAATTCCTCACTTGACGCGCCACACGTCCCCTCCTCGCCGCCCCTCCTCGCAGTGCGTCGGAAGCCCCCGGAGCGACGTCGCCGAGGGCAGGGGGCACCGCCAAGCAATGCCTAACTTTCATTCTTTAGCTAAATCCAAGACGTCGAGGCTGCGGCTCCGAGCAAGGCGAGGGGGAGGATAGCGGGGTCGGTGGGGCGGGAGGGGGCTTGCCGGGGCCGGGGGGAGCAGGGAGCTGGGCTGGAAGACGGCTGGGCCCTTGAGGAGGGGGCGAGGAGGAGGGTGAGAGCCTCAACAGGTTTCTCGACCGCGAAACCTCACTCCCACCATCAGGACTTCTACTCCTCACACAAAGCATTTTCGCGGTTAAATCGTCGACCTCATTCCATTTTTCGTTATGTAGTCCAGTCCGTCGCCTCACTGGCAGATATAGCATTGGTCGTTTCAGAAATGCCACCTGACAATAATTAGCAACAAGGATGAGAATTAAGGGTGGCTCCAAGTTGTACGCCTCGGCCTGGTAATTTATTCCTACGCCACATGACACCCGTCGTGGCGGTCACTGACATGGGAACATGCCAAACATCTGCTGCAAAAAAGGATGAATCAAGTTCAGTTACTCGCCCTCACCCGCCCACCTTTTTGTGCGGTCCCCCGAGCCACAAACAAGCAGCCGCGTCGTATCCCTCCAGCCAATCCTCCTCTTGGCACAAGGGACGCCATACCCGGCTCTGACTGTGTGTTCGACCTTGAAGGTAGCGGGGACACAGGTGGCCCGGTCGCCTTGTGCCACGGGGGGAGGAGGGGACTCCTTGGGCAGGCAGGTTGGAACGCCGACTTCCAGGCTTTCCGTATCGAAGCGGCCTTGTGTGCGCCTAAGAGAGCCTCTACGGCAGAAGCTAACTATAATCACATGACGATCTCGTCACGACAGCGAGACTCAGGAGGGCTAAGGTGACGTGAGTCGCAAATTTCCGTTTTAGGTTCTGGACTTAGTTTGTTGGGAAAGTTACTACCACTAGAGATATATGCAAATGGATTTCAACCCATTTTTTATTCAGACATACGTAAAGTCTAATCCTGAAAGTAGACACCCTTAATAGAATGAATAAACAATATCCGTTGTCCCACAAATGGTTTTCTTTCCTGCATGTGGTAGGGCCTGCATCAGTAACACAAATTTAATATTCTTGCAGTGACCGCCCGCATTCCGGTTTGGGTCGAGCGTCCTGCATTACCCTTGGGTTTTATTCAAGATATTATCATCTGTTGCAGAAGTAGGTTACAGGCAATCGTGTCGAGATACAAACCCAGTTAGAGAAGAGAAAGTGTTTATGAAAACAGTTAAGTGTTTGCACTTATTGATTTTAAATGTCTTTGTTATTGTTGATATCACTACTCCTGTTATGGGGGTATTCTAATGCTTCATTTATTTTTCATCACATAATATTGTTATTATTATTATCATCAATGCTATTACTATTATTATCATTATTATTATTATTATCATCATCATTATTATTATCATTATCATTATTATTATTATTATTATTATTATTATTATTATTATTATTATTATTATTATCATTATCATCATTACTATAACTATTATTATTATTATTATTATTATTATTATTATTATTATTATTATTATTATTATTACTATTATTATTATTACTATTAATATCATTATAATAGTGATTACTATTATTATTGTTATTATTATTACTATTATAACAGTTA